GGGGAGGTGGGGGGGGAGTATATCAAAAGGCAAGAAATTCAACTGGAATGCAGGAAAGCTGACGGCTGGTAGGATCCTCAGGCTATGTGGTTACTTCATAATCTGCAGGCTTGCTGGGTACTGAGGACCTCGAAGAATGAGAGATGGGAAGCCTAGCCCTTCCTAACACCCAACAAGTTCAGTCCAGTCCCTTTACTCTAACTAAAAGGACCCAAAGCAGTGAGCACAGGTGGGGCGGTGGGTGTATGTGTGTGTGTGCGTTTGTGTGTGTGCGTGTGTGCGTTTTCTAAACTACTTTATTGCAACTTCTAAAATAATTTTGCAGTTAAAAAAGCCTAACCATTAATGTAGTTTATTTTTTCCAAAATGTCTTATTCTCAGGCATGATATATACATATTTCAAATTTTCATCCTATTTTCCTTTGGGAATTATTTCAGACAAAAATGGCAGCTTTAAATACAAAAGACTGCTAATGATATTTATTTTTGTAATCACAAACAATTAATGTGAAGGAAAAATAAGTGCTTATTTAACTCAAGAAAACTTCTAATGAAAAAAAGAAAAATGCGTTTAAATTTCCTAGAGTGAATGGGTGACATCTATTCAGTAGGAAAAAAGGGGAATTTGTTGTGCTGCCAACAAGGAGGTCTCGATAAGCTCAGTGGAGCAGAAAATTGCATCCGAGCTAAGTTGTAGGTGTGAGACACCTGACTGCATTAAGTAGTTTTTGAGGAAAATCACCACTAAACAGCAGAAAGCTCTGCTCATATCTGATTACGTTAAGGGGGCATTGCCAGCTAATTTCTCATTAAAAACATGTTTCAAAGTTTTTAATTCCTAAAGTCATTCCTTTTTAAGAGCTGTCCTCACTCTATTTTTCCTATTTGTGTCTAAATGAGTCTGTGTTCCTCCCCCTGCCACTCCCACTCTCCCGCTGGATGTGTCTCATTTGCAAATAAAAATCATAAGCCTGAATAAACCTATCCTAAAAGGAAATAAATGTGGAGAACCAAAGGTCCCTTTAAGTTATTTTGCTATTACAATCTCTCCTTTTCCATCCATGTACATTTAGTGGACTCTTTTCAGGGTGGATGAAGTGTCTGTGCACCTCTCAGTTGTTCTAATAGATTATTGTCTTTATGGTCTCTCAGAGATGCTTGTTTTATGCCAGATGAAGACCAAATGAGTAGCTGCAAGAGTTAATAGCAACTCAGTAATTCTCCAAGCTCCGCTGTTCCCGAGAGAAGCCGGAGAGGGGATACCAGCTTCGCCCATGGGGCGGGCAAAGGGGGAGGCGGGGGAGGATGGCCGGGCCAGCCAGCCCTCCAGCTCCAGGTAACTCATTTCCAGAATCACATCTAAGGACCCAGTCATGGGGACCGGGCCCAGCCAAAGAGCAGAGGCTATGTAAAAAGAAAAGAGTGTTTCTATAAAATCCTTTCAAGGAATCACAACATGGCCAAGAAAAATGACCAAATCCACCCTGGCCGGAAGGCTCAGTTGGCTGGAGCGTGTCCTGTACAGCAAAAGGTGGCAGGTTTGGTCCCAGTCAGGGCACATGCCTAGGTATCGGATTCGATACTGGGCTGGGGTGTGTGCGGGAGGCAACCGATCAATGTTTCTCTTTCATATTGATGTTTCTCTCTCTCTTCTCAAATCAGTAAGAAAAGAGAGCAAACCCCCCATGGAAAGCTCACAGGTAGGACATGTACGAGGTCAGGAGCGTAGGCCAGATTGAAATGAGCTTCCCCTGCATGAATCCCCTTGGTGTGAAAGGACCGCTGAGACCTCATCAGTACATTTAGCCAACATGTCTCATGAGGCGTCATTTACGGCCTGCGCCCCACACGGCAGCAGGTGTGGGCTGCGGCTCTGAAACTTGGGCTGCCAACGTGGCGCCCAACTGACCGCCTCTGGGGTCCCGCATGCCAGCCTGGTCTCGGTTGAATTGAGTGGATTGTAAACTCACAGAAAAATAAACGGCATGTAGGAGCAGGTGAAGTAAACACACAACAGTTTGCAGTCCTAAATTCTGTGCGTCGCAGAAAATGCTCTGCTGTCTGCTCACGTGTAAGTCTGTATTTTAGGCATCTCAGAAATAACGGCGCATTTGAAAAGCAACCACAGGGAAATGCTGTTAGTTCTGAATGTCGAAATTACTCTAAAGCGATAAACTGAGCCCTCCTTTGTTGTTGTTGTTGTTGTCCTCTACAGTTATAACGATGCATTTCTGGAAGATGGAATTACAAGTAGAAGAGAAAAAATCGTTACCTTTGAGCAGTAAGGGCATGAACGGGATTTTGGGCGGCTTCATCTTTTTGAACGCATCTCTGTAAGCTTTGTGGTTCAGGGAGGGATCCTGAGCAGCCAAGCGGATCACAAAGAGAAAGAAAAAAATCAATCTGCTATAGAAACAGCTCTCAGCCCATGTTGCTATGCAATTTGAACATGATTTGGATATGGAGACGTCTTCCCTAAGAACGAAGGGGACAAAGGTTTCCTAGGGAAATAAACTCACTAAATTAGGGCAGGAAATCTAGGTAATGAATGAAAGCCAGCTTATTGGTTTACAATAATGGGAAGTGGCTGCAAAAGAGAGAGACACCTTTTGATGGCCCTATTCTTTTCCTCGAGTCAGTTCTGTAAGTACAGTTTCCTCCGCGTAATTTCTGTCATGAGGAAACCCTGGCATCTTTTGTCAGGAACACGGCACAGAAAAATGCCCTCGTGATGCACAGACAATGCAGCGAGCACAAGAGAACCGCCTTACTGTGTTCTGAAAAGAAACTATGCATTTTGTACCTGAGCCTAAGAAATGATAAGAGGACAAGAGAAGGATGCATAAGCCAGTGACTGCACACTAAATTTACACCCTTGCACTTCATAGGCTTAGAGATGAACCACACGTAACAATCTGCCTGCTGAAAACCACGCCAAAGGGCCATTCTCAGTGCTGTGTTCCACGGAGAAGCAGCATTAACCGTGTACTTGCTTCACTTCATAAGAAGCAAAGCTACATTTCAGGACAGGTGAACGTGTGTGTGTCTAACTACCTGCCCCGATAGAGTGCAGGTCCTTCCCCCCTCACCCCCCCACTGGAATCTAGAAGACAATCAGACGCTGGCAACTCATTGGAAGGATAAGTCCCCTCTGGATCAACTACTTACTGTTAAACTTTCAAGTTCAGAGAAAAGTTTCTTAAACTTCCCAGGGATTTTCTAAAAACAAAGACAAAAAAACAGACACAAAAAGGTCAAAGAGGTCAGCTATTTTGAGAGGCGACCAGGGGAGGGTTCATGAAGTTGTGCTGACGTGTGCTGTGGCTCTGCATGTAAATCTCTCACGTGGCTCTACCCTGACGGCTCCTCGCCGGTGGTTTTCATCACCCCGTAATGTGGCTGTGGCTGTGCATCGCTCGGGAATGTGGCGAAAACCAGTTTAAAATACGTAACAGCCACGTGACTGGCATCGGGCTGGTTAGACATTCCACACACGGGTGATTTTTTTTTTTAATAAACACTTGGATTTCAGTCCATATTCTACCTTCATCTTCTTAAATAGTCTTGCTGATTGGGAATAATAATGTCAGCTGACATTTTTTGTGTAAATGAAATAATGATGTCTCACAGCAGAGGGCTAACGAGTGCAAGGCTGTGAAACCCTCCATGACGAAGCCTGCACTTTGACAGGCAGAATGACTAGGTTACAAAGATCAGCCACACGGACAGGCGGCGTGTAAGTGACAGCGGATATGCCATCCTCCCCATCACAGCTTCGGGCCTCAGGAAGAAGAGCCAGGGTTTCCCAGCTGCCTGTCACGTGGTCAGCTACGTGCAAAGCTGGGTGCCTTCCACATTGACGTGGTCAGCAGACGGTCTGCCTCTGAGTTCTGCCTCCGCCCCTTGCTGGCTGTGTGGATTGGTGTGAGTCTCGAAGTTCTCCGACTGACGTGGAGACAAAGCCTACGAAGTACACAGTTCATGGTTGGTGCTTAACAAATTCCAGCCATGAATGCCAGCGCCCATGTTCTGGAAGATTGGTGGGACTTTCTGCTTCCAAAACACATCAAAGTCATGGAGGCAAACCCTACAGTAATTAGACTTCTAAGTTATTTAGAAATAGACGTTTCAATTTGATGGTTTTGAATTTGGACTCCGTTTAGCACAGCACACAGGCAGTTTAATATGTTTGGAAACTACTGTGATACAGACACACCTATATTCATGAATGGAGGACAAATCAAATGAGAAAAGGTAAAATGCAGCCATCTGCAACTTACTCCCACCGTTCTTCTGAGCTGCAAATCTTAGTCTGTTGGACATGACACACGAATGTCCCAGTGGCTCCTCAAACTCAGAGCCAAACTGGTCACCTCCAGGGGTCAGCCATGAATGGGCCAAATCCAGTTCACGGCCTGCTCTTGTAAATAACGCTGTACTGGAATGTGGCCACGCCCACTCATTTACATACACCTTGTGCCTGCTCTTGCACTGCAGTGGCAGAGTGGAGTCCCCGAAATAGAGACCACAAGGCCTACACAGCCTAAACACATTTGCTGTCTGGCCCCTTACCTGCAGAGCTGGCTGACCCCGTTCTATTCCTTTATATCGGCTCCTTTCCCTATTGGGGACAGTGTGCTCACTCGTCAGCAGGCCTAATGCTCCCACAGTCACTTCTGCTTGGTGCCCACCCCAACCCCCAGCAACTCCCAACTCAACCTCTAAGCCCCTGCTTCTCAGAGCTTCTTTGTAGAGTCTTCTCGCTCCTGGGAGACAGAATGAGTCCTCTACTTGCTCCTCTGCGGTCCGACTGGACTTGGTTCAGCACCTCCTCCATCAGAGCCACTCTGTTCCCATCTGTCTGACCCGCCCTCCTTCTGCCAAGGTGCACAAAGTAGGCAGCCAATGTGCTCATGGGATGCACATGGTTTGGATTTCATTTCTCCCCCCAATGCTTGCAAAGCAAAGCTTTTTTCCAGGTTTAACTCAAATTCCACTCGCCTCTAGCCCTTGCCAGCCATCTGTTCCTCCTCTGGTCAACCGGGGCATTGGCGGCCCACCTCCTTCATCTTGCGATGTGCACACACGGTCTTGTTTGCTTTGCCGGAGCAGGCAAGCCTTTCGTTTCTTTCTTTGAACCTTTTTAAGGAGCACTGGCCCCGACCCTCAGGCCACCCACCCCGGTGCATTCCGTCAGGGCATCTCCCTGACCCACAGAAATTGAACCTGCAGGTTGCCCTGAGACCTACGCTGAGACCTAATGTAAGAAAAGGAACAGAGGCTTCTCTCCCACAGGAGTTTGCATTGAGACCCACGAAGGGAATGAGCAGTTACTGATTGGAGCTGAACCTGGGAAGGTGGAGAGAGGCCAAGGAGACCGAAGTGAACACATGCAGGCTGGAGCCAGGAGGAGGGGGTTAAAGAGAAGGGGGGAGGGAGGCGTATGGTCCACAGAGTTAAGTAGGCAATCAGCAGGGAACAGGGAGTGAAGGAAACAAAAGCCCAAGGAGAGAAGAGCCCTACCTCAGTGCCTGGCTCAAGAGGGATGCCCCAACTGCAGTTCTTTCCACATATACCCTTCAAGTCCATGTTTGAGAACTTGGGCTAACTTTTGTGGGCCTCTCCATCTTAGAACCTAAACAGACTTCATCATATGACAGCAACAGAAGCAGAACCAGGATTTGGGAGGCCTGAAACGTATAGCATTTTGTGGGCCCTCTTTAAGAAAATCAATACAAAATTACTTTACTTTTGCAAATTTTACAAAGATGTATATTGTCCATGTGAACACACTGCCAGGGGCCCAGCAAGTGTGAGGCCCGGAAGCTTAATTCGTCAGCGTCTCAGCCAACAGACTTCTGGACACACGGCCCGCAGGTGAGCGTTTGAAAGGACCACCATTGGTACCCACGCCACCTCAGGGCAGAGCCAAGGAAGATTAAATCTGCAGGTGTCATTTTACAGTTCTCATCGCTTTCATACACATTACACAACCGTTCTGAAGACCATTTGATTAAAATAGTCCCTCCAACTGGACACATTATTTTTTATGTAAACCCTTTAAATCAATTTACGCATTGGAAACAAAGGCTTTTTGCGGGCCCGTCTCCCGTTCAGCTTTATCTGTCCCTCCCACTCCCCTCTCTGTGAGGACCCCAAGGCTCACCTCCCAGGTCTGCGACAGCCGGCTGACAGAAGCAGTGTTGAGACCCATCACAATAGCAAAGAAAGAATTCAGGTTCCTCTGGGCTTTGCAGCTACGGCATAAAAGAAAGCAGAAGGCACTTTGAGGCAACATCCTTTCTCCAGGTGATCGCAAAAGACACAAGTGAAAATACTCCCTGAGGCCAGAGTTCAACCTCAAGGGCAGGGCTGAACCCTGCTCTGTAGCCCCCACACGCCGTGAGCACCCCAGTGGGAGGGTGGTGTCCTCGCCAATGTTTCTCACAGAAATGAACTGATTTCAAAGGCTTCAGCCCATCCTTACTTATCTCTAGGAGAAGATCTATGCTCTGATACCTTCTGACACTTCAAAAACTTCCTCCTTTTTAACCATCTATTTTGGATGCATTTACAGTTTCAACTGAAAATTCTTAAACTCGTCTTCCTCTATATATACCATACCCTCATCATACTAGCTCTCCAGTTCCGTCCCTTTCATCAGCAAGCTGTCTATTTTTTGATAGACAAGCCCCTCTCCCTTCACAGGTCTAAGCGGCCCCTCCCATTACACTCAGACATACCTTCTTTGCTATCCACAAAATTACTATTATATTCTGGATATACGTAAAACATGGCCCATACTATGAGGATACTGTCTCATTTAGAGAGAGAAGGAGATAAGATGCAAAATGAGACCATGCTGAGCTCCATTCACTCTGCAAGGTTATCTGTTGTGCATGACGTCAACCTTGCCTTTGACTTAATTGGTTAAAATCCCCCCAATATTGACAGCCGGCTGAGGGCGTCCGGAACAGCAGACGGAGGCTGGGCGTCCGAGCAGCCGGAGCAGCCTGGAGTTCTAGACACTCCATTGTCTGGGACTCATTAGAAAACAACTTCTCTGAGGCAAGTCTTTAAAATTAAGAAATTAGCCTCGCTTGATAATTAAACATGAAAAATATGAACGTGCTCAGCAGTAAGCTGGGTGCAGGAAAAATACCGAGTGTCTGCTAATCTAGCTTTCCTGGGCGCCATCTCTCCCCGACGCCTCCATCAATGCATCAGGTGGAATTTGGGAACAGTGCATGTGTGACTTTGTATCTCGCTCTTTCAGTTATAGACCGTGTTAAATTGTACATTGTGCATTCTTCACTACCACCATTAATGGCTATGTAACACTTTATCAGAAACATATTTCATAACTTGCTTACTTACTCCCCTGTTGTTGACATTTAAATTATTTTCAATCAATTCAATTCAATACAAAATGCTACGATGAGTATCTTTGTGTATAAAACTTTTGACTATATTGATGATTTTTTTTATTACGTTAGACTTCCACGCATTCCACCATTGGTCAAAAGCAATCATGACTTGAAAAGTTCTTGACACATTCAACACTTCTGTCTCCCCAAACGATACCCAGTTCTAGGTGCGCAAACTGTGTAAGAACATCCAGTTCTGAATCAGGAAAATGGCTGGGCTGCTAAAGACACCGCTGGCTACACCGGGGCAGGTCCCGCTGAACTCCCTGCTCCTGGGGCCAGCCTCCGGACCGGGTGGCGCCCAGTACAGCTGAGAGCCACACTGGGGGCACACGGAGGTTCTACTCATTAACAGTGGAACCTGGACAGGCACTGCTGCCTCCATACCCAGTGTCCAGGATATCTGGGGTGAACTCGGCACTGCAGGCCCCACCGCCGAGTCTCCAGGGCACGGTCAGTCCCTCTGGTAGTCTTCCTGTCCAGCTCTGGACTCCGCCTCTTGGTAGGCAAGAGGATCTGAAACTCAGTTCAACTCAGTTCAAGCTGGTTTCTGTCAGCTTTCTCCTAGGTGACCCTGCTTGGTATATTCCAGGAATAAACAGATAAGATACTTCCTGGTCTATGATTTAGGAATCCATCTGTTCTTGAGCATCACTGGTGTCTAAAGGCACCAGGATGGTGACTCTACTTCCCCTCTGCCATTGACTCGCACCCTTTCTATCTCATTGCAGCCCTGGACACTTCACACCACTGGACAGAGCTGAAAGGGCTCCCTCTCTGGACGTGAGGACCTGGAGTACCCTGTGACCAGCGGGAGCCGTCCCATCCTGGTGCCAGAGACCTCGGCCGGAGGCTCTCCCTTACCCCAGGTCTCCTGCTTACCACTCACGGAGGCCTCTCTGATCTGTCTCTCCCTACTGGACATTAGGTTCCTGAAGGCTCGATTATAGTCTATTTCAGCTTTGCATTCTGCCCATCACCCAAATACCGGGTAGGCAGCAAGCCATTCAGATGGCATTTACTGGAGTTGAAACTGAGACTTTTGGGGAAAATGGATTATTGTTATCTACCAGGGTCCCTCGACCTGGCCTATGCCCTCTCGCAATCCGGGACCCCTCAGGGGATGTCGGAGAGCCAGTTTCGGCCCAATCTCCGCAGGCCAGGCCTAGGGACCCCACCCTCTAGTTCATTATAAAAAGGTTTATTCTTCTTTTCATTCAGTATCATTTATCTATGTGGGATCTTAGATATAATTCTCATCTTTTTATCATTTAGCCCTCCATAAATAATTTTCTTGGCCCAAATCTCTTTTTCACTCAGACTGAAAATAAAAAGGCACCTATAACTAACATCTGACTCTGTGAAAAGGAGAAAGGAATTAAAACGGACACGATTTCTCTAGAAGACGAATTGATGCAGTATAAATATTGGATACCATTCTAGTCCGGACTCCTCTGTGACTGAGGTTCATTCATTCCATGATAAGAACAGACCGGCTGACACTAAACAAGCCAGTTTAGCAAAACTCCTTTGTCTGTGAGAGGGAATAAAACCCACTCTACCCACAGGGGTGGGGGATGGGATGGTGAGAAGGAAGGGAGACATGAATATGCAAATAGGATGCCTGAGGCAGGGAAAACACTTCCTGATCACGGAAATTATTGTTTTCCCTTGGCTATCCCTACCACTGTGATGATAAAGAATTTAACTTCGTGTTTCTATTGCCATTCCAGTCCACGGGCTAGGGTTAGAGACCAGGACCGTAAATAATTCAAGATCATGGGGCCGTACGGAGAAGATGTGAATAGATTTCATTTCCCTGAGGATCCATATAATCTTACACTGAGAAGAGAGCTGTGTGGCGTCATTTTACTCCTTGGAACATTAATCTCCCATTTCTCCAAGTAACTGGCATTTATAAGAACTTTTTTTTTTTATTCAAAAGAGCCTCACCTTTAGGTATTTCACAGGCTGTTATGGAATGTACTGGCCAAATTAAAAAAAAAAAAAAGGAACCTTTAACATAAGAGCAGCCCAAGATGAAGGCTTCTGTGCTACTATCTCTCCTTCCCTTCCAGGCACACAAACCAAGTCAGGCACCCCCACTGTCTCTCGCCAATAAATGAAACGCTCTGCCTCTGGGGTCTTCTCCCTACGGTTCAATCTACACGCAACTCTCAGGCCAGCCTTCCCGAGGGACCGCTCCGAGCATCCGCTTCCTGCACAAATATTTTCAGTGACCTCCTACCGCCTCCTCCAGGCAGTGCAAACGCTTCCATCTGAAATTCAAAATCCTTTACAGATTGGTCCCATCGGCCTTTGCAGATGAATCTCCCACAACTTCCTTCCAAACACCCTCCGTGAGGGTCCCACTGGGTCAGGGTACTTTCCCGGACCACGTGTGCTCTGCCCCCAGTGAATGGACACCTGTCCACTTCTACCCGGAATTCAAATGCAGCCTCACATGTTTCCACACCCTCCTTCCCACCATGTTGGTATTTGAGCTTCCCCTACTCTAAAGTCCCAGAATGTGAGCTCACACCATGACACTCCCCCGTTCTAATCTGCACGCTGGCCACCTGCGTTATAGAAGCGCCGCCCAGGCCCCCGCAGACTGCAAACTTGTTATGGAATGTACTGGCCAAATTAAAAAAAAAAAAAGGAACATTTAACGTAAGAGCAGCCCAAGATGAAGGCTTCAGCCCAAGATGAAGGCTTCTGTGCTACTATCTCTCCTTCGCTTCCAGGCACACAAACCAAGTCAGGCCCCCCCACTGTCTCCCGCCAATAAATGAAACGCTCTGCCTCTGGGGTCTTCTTCCTACGGTTCAATCTACACGCAACTCTCAGACCAGCCTTCCTGAGGGACCGCTCCGAGCATCCGCTTCTGGCACAAACATTTTCAGTGACCTCCTCCCGCCTCCTCCAGGCAGTGCAAACTCTTCCATCTGAAATTCAAAATCCTTTACAGATTGGTCCCATCGGCCTTTGCAGATGAATCTCCCACAACTTCCTTCCAAACACCCTCCGTGAGGGTCCCACTGGGTCAGGGTACTTTCCCGGACCACGTGTGCTCTGCCCCCAGTGAATGGACACCTGTCTACTTCTACCCGGAATTCAAATACAGCCTCACATGTTTTCACACCCTCCTTCCCACCTTGTTGGTATGTGAGCTTCCCCTCCTCTAAAGCCCCAGAATGTGAGCTCACACCGTGACACTCCCCGTTCTAATCTGCACGCTGGCTACCTGCATTATAGAAGCGCTGCCCCGGCCCCCGCAGACTGCAAACCCCCACAGGCAGGAATGGGGTGTCGGCTCGGTCTGATTTCCCCACTGTACCTGCGTGGACCCGCACCTATACTGAGCGATCAATAAGTATTTCCTGAATGCTGGTCTGACATGTATGCAGAACAATGATACAAACACTATTCTGGAAGCCAAAGGAGAAGTAAAGTGGGAAGGCTGGGAGGCAGAAGGAACGGGAAAGATTCCGGCTCCTGCTACCCGCTTCCGTTGGGAAGCTGTCCCAGGAGGGGCTCAGGGCACTGATCTGGTAGATGCAGAGATGCTCCCAGCAAGTTAGTAAAAGGTCATTCCACCCACATTTACGGAGTCTCTGCTAGTCACCGAGTCCGCTTCCAGGCTCCCAGCACAATGACTGCTCAGAACTGGCCCCTGACCCCTGGAGCCTCTCATAGCCCAGGGAAGGAGCCCTGTATAAACAGATAAGTTCAATAAACATAATAAAGGCATTTTAAAAAGGAAACAAAGCATGAGTGTGTGCGTGGGGGCGGGGAGGGGAGAGGGGTCTGGGTAGGGAGTAGTTGACCTTTCATTTGAAACTCAGTGATGTCCTCAAGAAGGAAGAAACACTTGCCCTACATCTTAAAGAGTGACAGCAATCTGCGGGGTGGAAAGGGCCCTTCTTAGCAGACGCAACACATGTCCATGCTTGGAGGACGGTGTGCCTGGGAAAGAGACAGCCATTCAGAGTGGCTGCAGCATGGGGTGCACCCAGCAAGGGGTGAGGCTCAGAGCCCAGGAGGGACCAGCCTGTGTAGGGCCTGCTAAGGAGTCCGTAAGGTTCACACTGCAGGCATCAGGAGGCTGAGAGCAGAATTCTCGGAAGCACCTGATTCTCAGTGATGGTTACCGCGTCCCATCACCTCCCCCATTTTCTCAGCTGCTGTAGCTCCCAGGCCACATGGCAATTTGGCAGCAGGATGGGTATGTGTGCACGGCCTGCTTACTAGCTCTATAGCACAGAGCAGAGGGCTTCAGTCTGCGATTTTGATATGTACTTTAAAATAGAAATACTTCAAATGCAGAGTCATAAATATTCATGAAGAGACCTTTCCAATCATTCGGTCACTTAACCCAATGTGACACGTTTACATCCACCCTTCCTGTCACCACAAGGGAAACAGTACTCGGCAAGGAGAGGAGCGGAGCGGAGCGGAATTGCAGGTTTTACTATGAGGAACTCACTGGGCGGCGATTTTGATGAACTTCTTCACCAGCTGCACCCGCTTGCCCAGCTGGCTGCAGAGCAGAATCTCCGTGGCCACCCAGAGCTGGACCTCATTGCAGCGCTGGAGCAGGAGGCTGAGGTTGGCGGTGTGCTCCCCACTTCCTTGTCTGCTGAATGTGAAATAGATCAGCTCTTGCTGAAAGAAAAGATAGTCATGCCAGTGTTTATTTTCAGCACAAAGTCAGGTTGATACAAAATTCAGTCCCTCTTTAAAAGCTATTTCTCATAGCCATTCTCATATCGGACTATGCGACAATATATTCAATTTGAAACAACTTCCCTTTAGTTTTAGGGATGCCTCATTAAATAATGTTCACTTAGACTTCTTATATAAATGTATTTCTTTAGAATGTAAGAATGGTGCCTTTACATGGAAATCTAAGACATTCAACGTTTAAATCACAGGGTGAATGAAATCCAAACTTCCTAAACTTGTTACGTTGGCAACTTCAAGTGTAAATGAAATACTATCATAGTACTTGTTAAGATGCACATTAGACCCTCACAGGTAGAGTCTAGGCAAGGGTTCTCAAAGGGTTTAGTGTGAATCAGGATCACCTCCCTTCCCACAACCAGACTCTGATTCAGGTGGTCTGTGGTAGGGACAAAAATGTCCATTTCTAACAAGTTTCCAGGCAGCGCTGATGATGCTGGTCTGGATTCCCAGGCTTTGACAGCCATGGACCCAAGACAGTGTCAAATCTTAAATAGAAAGAGCAAGGTCCAAAATGAAAAAAATTCGAGTAAGGCCAGTAACTATTTACTATATATATGGATTGTTCCCATGCAAAGCAACAGAAGATTCTTATTTCTAAATGGAGGTGTGTGTATCTACAGAAGTCGTTCACATCCTCCCACTGCCTATGCAGGACGCACCCTGTTCTATTAACATTTCCAAAGTCACATGTCATTGAGTGAGTGTAAATGAAATACTATCATAGTACTTGTTAAGATGCACATTAGACCCTCACAGGTAGAGTCTAGGCAAGGGTTCTCAAAGGGTTTAGTGTGAATCAGGATCACCTCCCTTCCCACAACCAGACTCTGATTCAGGTGGTCTGTGGTAGGGACAAAAATGTCCATTTCTAACAAGTTTCCAGGCAGCGCTGATGATGCTGGTCTGGGAGACTTCATTTATATCATGTGGATGGACCCAAGACAGTGTCAAATCTTAAATAGAAAGAGCAAGGTCCAAAATGAAAAAAATTCGAGTAAGGCCAGTAACTATTTACTATATATATGGATTGTTCCCATGCAAAGCAACAGAAGATTCTTATTTCTAAATGGAGGTGTGTGTATCTACAGAAGTCGTTCACATCCTCCCACTGCCTATGCAGGACGCACCCTGTTCTATTAACATTTCCAAAGTCACATGTCATTGAGTGGGAATGACTCCCCTACTTGCTCAAATTCAGATCATCACGTTGAAAATTTAATGAGCAGATATGAGGACACTTAGAAGTTATTCCCAATTGAAAGTGAAGCTCAGGGAGCACGCTGGGCCCGAGTCCCTCCTGCAGGAGGAAAGGCTGCCTCATAGTGAAGATGCCACTACAAGGCAAAGCAAGGGCAGCAAGTGGTTGCACAGAGCTGCTCGCTGCTGGCCTTCTGGTGCCCGTGAGCTTTCCACGGGCTCAACTCCTTCACTCATTGTCAGCAGCATTTTGCCCATAACCTGTTGCTTTATAAATGTTATAAGCTATCCTCCAGGGAGAAGTTGATGGACGTAAAAGTTTGAAATATACCTCAAAATTTTCAAGAAAGCACTTGACATCTTGCTGAATAGTCTAAATTTATAGAATGTTCTTATGTAAAAGCATGAGTGTGTGTGCACATATATACACACAATATACATATGCTTCTTGTATAACTATTATAAATTTCATGGGAAAAATTCAAATATCAATATCAAAGGCATCAAATACAAAATAGCTCTTGAGCCCCATTAGAGCTCCATATATACACATAATATACATATATACATATCTATCACTTATTTCTAAATGGAGGTGTGTGTATCTACAGAAGTCATTCACATCCTCCCACTGCCTACGCAGGACGCATCCTGTTCTATTAACATTTCCAAGGTCACATGTCATTGAGCAGGAATGACTCCCCTACTTGCTCAAATTCAGATCATCACGTTGAAAATTTAATGAGCAGATATGAGGACACTTAGAAGTTATTCCCAATTGAAAGCAAAGCTCAGGGAGCACGCTGGGCCCGAGTCCCTCCTGCAGGAGGAAAGGCTGCCTCATAGTGAAGATGCCACTACAAGGCAAAGCAAGGGCAGCAAGTGGTTGCACAGAGCTGCTCGCTGCTGGCCTTCTGGTGCCCGTGAGCTTTCCACGGGCTCAACTCCTTCACTCATTGTCAGCAGCATTTTGCCCATAACCTGTTGCTTTATAAATGTTATAAGCTATCCTCCAGGGAGAAGTTGATGGACGTAAAAGTTTGAAATATACCTCAAAATTTTCAAGAAAGCACTTGACATCTTGCTGAATAGTCTAAATTTATAGAATGTTCTTATGTAAAAGCATGAGTGTGTGTGCACATATATACACACAATATACATATGCTTCTTGTATAACTATTATAAACTTCATGGGAAAAATTCAAATATCAATATCAAAGGCATCAAATACAAAATAGCTCTTCAGCCCCATTAGAGAGTGCTCTCTTTCTCTCTCTCTCTCTCTCTCTCTCTCTCTCTCTCTATTTATATACACACATACACACATAATATACATATATACATATCTATCCATACATATAAAACCATGACATGTTTAAATTACATTCTACAAACATATGATTGTACCAGGAGCAAAGAAAGCATGACCAAGTATTTTGATTTTCCTAGGACTGGATCAAATATCAAATATCTTTTTGGACCATGATATTCTAGCATAATGCTATCACTAGATAATGGATCTTTTAAACACCTAGTCACATGCATAAATATTCTTCAAAAAAGAATTCACAGTTAAAAGAGCACCAGCATTTATTTGATCTTTTCTCTCCTTCCTTACCTCGTGAATGGAATTGAAGAGACTCCAATCAAAATTCATTAATTCCAGAGCAAGATCCCAAGTGTTCATTCCCAAGATCCTCAACGGCCTTTGCTGGGACTCCTCATTTTCTGCCAATGGGTTCTAAACCAACAGAAGCAAAAGGACCCTCAGTGACCTCGATGTGCGACACTGCACTGGCTGCCCGTGGAAAGGCACTAGAAGCCCAGATCAGAAAAGCAATCTTGTCTGAGGGCACTTCATATTTCCCCCGATCTGTTCACCTTCAGTGAGTTACAGCCAATTTAGGAAACAGCCTTGCAAAAAGGAGAATGTGATCAATGAGTTGGCCAGCCCCCTGCCTCCCCCATGCGTGCCCGCACAAATCTGATTATAAAACACTGCCGGGCAGACAGCATAATGAAAGCAAAAGCTCTGAAGCTACTTGGGCTTCTGGTAGGAATTAATATGCCAGCAGGGTGAGTATAAAAACAAACAGAAGAAATGTCACGGCGCACTTCAATAAAGACAGACACGGTTTCTACAGGAAATGTGCTTAGTGAGACACACGTTCACACACTGTGCTACAGCGCTCGTGGGAAGCGAACACAATTTAAACGTGAAATAATACAAAATAAAAGTGACTTCATTTATAGGTGTGGTGGGGGATTATTTTAAGTATCAGTGCTTCCTTAAAATATGGCATGAAATTATTAAATGTCACCACAACTTTAAATCTACTGACACTGTTAAATGTATTAAAAATTATTCGGCCTCTTTTCAAAATATTTGACATTTTTAAATTAAAATAGAAATTCTCCCATTGGAGGGTGGACTTGAACAGTTAATGAAATAGTTACTGACTCGGAAAAGAAAGAATGGGACTTTGCAAACTACATGACATCGCAGGATGGAGGCAATCGCTCCGATTCCAGGTATTAACCTCTGTTTCTAAACTGCAAAATAAACTATTTGCATTTTAGAATTTTTACATATATGAATAGTAATTTTCTAATTAAAAAAAGGAATGGCAAAGGACCTTCACAGAGCTTTTCCACAGACTTGATTCTGCTCAGAGCAGGTCAAGGTACAAATTGTCCCCGTGTCCCCAGAGTGGGAGGCAGAGGGGAGCTCAGCCTGGGCGGGTGGCCTGGACGCACATGCAGATATGGAGGCGCTGAGGTGGGCACAAGCCAAGGCTTCTCAGGGATTGTCTGATGGGACCAGACGGAAACCAGGCTGCACGGCAGACACTTGGAGGGAGAGCCATGGGTTGAGAAGTAGCACTAACCTCTGCTCACTGAGCTGGAGGCGTAAGGATATTTTCACATGGCCTTGAACCCCTCCTACTCTCTCCCTAAATATGCCCCTTCCCTACTGTACTGCCCTACGGTTTATTCAAGGTTGTCTACCACCCTCTCAGAGAAATAGTCCTCCATCCCATTCATCCAGGGCTCCAGTCCTGCTTTCCAAGAATATCATCTACAGGCAAGTACAGTGGATACTGGTGGTTTCACGTGCTATTCATCCTTTATAATGTCCCCTGAACCCCTCCTACTCTCTCCCTAAATATGCCCCTTCCCTTGGTACTGCCCTATGGTTTATTCAAGGTTGTCTACCACCCTCTCGGAGAAATGCTTTCTATGTATTCTTCCATCCCATTCATCCAGGACTCCAGTCCTGCTTTCCAAGAATATTATCTACAGGCAAGTATAGTGGATACTGGTGGTTTCACATGCTATTCATCCTTTACAATGTCCCCTATCAACTGAATTATTTTGGAGATAAAATACCTACAGCTATGATTCTAATGGGGAAATGTTAGGTGGTGTGCAAAGTTGGTGGGGAAAACATTCAAGGGCAGGACGGTGTCTGGCTCATCTTGGAATGTACTTTGTAGCATCCACTGGGACCCTGACTCGGGCCTGCCTTCTCCTCTTCTGCAGCTGGCCCTGGGCAGCGGAGATGAGAGCTCTGGGAATGCAGGTTCCCTCCACCACGAGGAGCCCAGAAAAGCCACACAGTAGATTGTGCTCCTTCGTGGGGAAGGGTAAAGTCCACTCAATCTCATCATTTACTCAGAGATGCTGTGCAGCATCAGTGTGTCGTGTGTCACTGATGGAATTACTTCGTGTGCAGACACAGGGCGAGTGACCTGTGGGATGCTCAGAACTGGAAAGGGCCCAAGTTAGAGCCGAATATTAATGGAAGCGACCCTAGCACTGTCCCCTCCCTGATTGTGGGAAGCTAGAGTAAGCTACTCAGCCTCTCCCAACTCCACAGGGTGACTGGGATGGCAAATGAGATTGTATATAAATTACTCAGCACCTACGTGTCTGGTAATAAGTATCCAAAATGACAGTGACTAATATTATGGTAGCTTGATATCCTGTAGGTAATTTAGCATAAAACATGTGTTATTGTAAGCCAGTCTGGTTTACCTACATGGCATATACATTCCTCAGTTATATGTACACCAGGAGCCAGCTAGGCAGCCCCAGCCCAGGGGTGACTCCATGACACAGACCGGGAACCAGGAGTCTAGAGGGTACAGTCACAACCTGGTAAAATGGGCTTCTTATGGGCGATGAACACTCCCATACAGAGAGAACTGAACACAGGTTTTTAGAAACAAGCATCTACTTAGGTGTCAATGTTCTTACATTTGAACTGAAATAACTTACAGTATGGTTCCTACATTTCCTTAACCGCTCACTCTTCAGTGGCATCCGAGGTCCCACTGTTATGAGACCATTTTGCACGGGGAAGGCTGACACCCTTTCTTCAAGAAAAGGGGTGCACTCCAGGTGCATCAAATGGATGCAAACCAAGGATGGAGTTTCTCCCTTAAATCCTCTCAGGGTGCATCCCTTGGCCTACTCTCCACATGTCCACCAGAAAAGAAGACGTGGAATTAAGATCCATTGGTAAAGAAGTCACTTCTCTCAAATCCCTTGTTTCAGGGGCTCAGAGAGAAGGAGGATTTGACTGAGGAAGGGTTTAGAATTCCTCAAGTTGTGCGTCTTTGATTTGCCAAGGCAATGTTACTCGACACGTGTATTGTTGGCTAGAAGAGGAAACAATTCAATGTATTTTCTGGCATTCATTATGAAACAGACACAAGTATGCTTTCAGTCTGACATCTGTGTCCGTGTGTTTCAAGTGCAAGGCTAAAGGTCCTCACCAAAGTGTCAGCCAGGTCTTTCCGGTAGACATATATCCGGCCAGATGCTTCCAGGGATTTGGAGATGGCCAGGTCATTGGGATGAAGTTCACGCTTTCCTATATTTTTTAAAAAAAAGTAATTTAGAAACACACAAACAGCAGTAGGCATACAAGGTGCATCTGAAGAGTGAAACGCACCAAAGAAAAATATTTCAAAGTAAACAGGATGCAAAGTAGATGGAATTGAGTTCTGCGTAGTCTCTATAATGACACCAATGATACTGTGGGGGCAGGGCCATCACTGCTCACTATCCATGAAGGAATCCTCTTATGAGTCTCTTATGATATTTAGTCATTCTTTGGAACACAGAACATTTTAGGGGAGAAAGTACAATTCACTCGAAACCCCAGCACTCTATGATAACCATATGATGGGAATATTGGTTAACATTTAGGCGTACTTTTGTTCTGATTTTTATGTAAGAGAGAGAGAGTGTGTGTGTGTGTGCGTGTGTGTATTCATATACATACATATAGTGGCGATAACCATATGATGGGAATATTGGTTAACATTTAGGCATACTTTTGTTCTGATTTTTATGTAAGAGAGAGAGAGAGAGAGTGTGTGTGTGTGTGCGCGCGCGCGTGTGTGTATTCATATACATACATATAGTGGTAATTATTTATACATATGCATACATATTTATTATGAATACATATATTTTTGATTATGTAGTTTTATATTCTGATTTTTATTATAAGCACTTACCCATTTATCAAAATTATTTACATATGTCATATTTAATTGGTTCCATAACAACCTATTATACTATCATTTAATTTTCCCGCTTTTGTTGAACATTTCAGGTTTTCTAATTTTTTTGGTCATATAAATTAGATGACAAGATGTATGCTAAATCCTAGCACAGGGCCTGGGATGTAGCAGGGGCTTGATAAATGGGATCTATTATTACCGCAGCCATAATATATACTGCTGAAGTCAACATCCTCATGCATAAATCTTTGGCTGCTTATAGATGATTTTCTCAAGATAGATTCCCAGTAGTGGGATTACTGGGTCAAAGGGAATGAATATTTTTGAAGTTTTTGGTGCAAACTGCCAAATTGTTTTCTAATACACTGACCAACACTGATCATTACTTTTGGTAAGTTGGCTTTTTTTTTTTTTCTGAAACCAAAAGCAGATTTGCGGTTTATTGTGTATTTCTTGACTGCCAGTGAAGCTGGAATTTTTCATATAATCTTCTTCCATTTTATTTTCCTTCTTGCAAATTGTCCCTGTCCTCTGACCATTTCTCTGCCATCGCTGGAGCTCTCCTGTACAATAGAGAAATGTATTCCTCCTAACAAGACGCAGGTGGGGATCGACCACAGGAATACTTGAGTTTATTCCACTGTAATGCAATCAGCTCCCCCCCACCCCCCCAAGCAGCCCTTCCGATACCCAGCCTGGCTGGGAAAGGCAACATTCCACCTCTTTTTCTAGGTAACCTAATCAGCGTAAATGCCAAATTTTGTTTTGAACAGTTCTGCTTAATACAGAGCACACGAATGATAATCTAATACATTCTTTACAGCCCCACATTATAAAGATCAATAGCACTGTCATGTCGGGCTGTTGACGTGTGTAGTAAATGGTCCCACACGGCTGGGCTCAGAGGTTCTTCCATCTCCTCCCTCTTTGTTTGGCTACAATTTCTTGCAACCCTCTGTGTGCCCAGATGTACCTTCAATCTGAATTTATGAGAGCCATTCTGCACTTGCTATGGGATCGAATACCATGGCGTCTGACAGTAATTTTTCCAGGTGCTCAGAAATGCCCCCCTTCTTTTCAGGTTTGTCACCATACTATAAAAGATTAAAGCCGAAAACATTTTAAGCTCTGAATATCTGGGTAGGTTGTTATTACCTACACACATATACCTACTCTCGGTACAAAATAGCACAAAACCCACTGAAAGCTATAAGGATAACAGTACCAGTCTTTTTAGAAAAAGCCATGAAACCTACAAAAGGCCAACATCTTTAAACTTTTTTTTGACAGTCGATCTCATTGTCATTTTATTTTGCAGTAGCATTTGAAACATTATTTATTGAAAATTGTGTAATTAGAACAAGGAATACATTAAGCCCTGTTTTTTTCTTCTTCTTCATAAAAATATGATTGTTCGGGGGATATTAAGCTGCAGGCAGAAAGGTTCTTAATGGATGAAACTGCTGATTGATGGAAACTGATGGCACATTTCCAAACTGGTGGGATAATTCAAGAGATAAGCTGATATTTCTAGTGATGATTAGCAATGAGTCTACGCATATTAATTCGCCACTGCCCACCCTGGTGAATCTGATTTAATAGAGTGTAAAAATGGTATTTCATGGCCATCAGATAGAAACTGGGTAGTAAGAGAGCTGCTCATTAATTTCCAGGTTCACACATGGCCCTGTAGGGTCCCACGTGACTCTCTGGGGCCCCCCCAGTTCACTCAGGTCCTTTCTCCTCCAGCACTTCTGAGCGGGGACCAGGGGACTACTTTTTGTAGTGTTACTGTCTTGAGAGGCAAATGTTGGTTTTGATGAAACTTAATATGTATTGTTAGGATCATTTAATAATTTGGTCACTTAAAATTAAATATAACAATCATTTATTTGTCATATCTATCTGGAATGTCTGAAATATTTTATTAAAAATTCAACCACTCTCTGATTAAAATTCATGTAATCCAGTTTCTCAAAGTTCTGCTTTTTGTTTCTGCACATTAGAATCACCTGGGAATCTTTTCAAAATCCTGATTTCTGGGCCTCATCCTCCGGAAATTCTGTTTCTTTGTTATGGGGTGGGGCGACAACATTAGTAACAAAGAAAAAGAATTTCCGGAGGATGAGGCCCAGAAATCAGGATTTTGAAAAGATTCCCAGGTGATTCTAATGTGCAGCCAAGGTTGAGAACCACTGTTCTAGGTAATGTTTTGACGGGATGCACACCTAGGGCCCTAGGAGAGGGAGGAGGACCTCTCGCTGACGAGGCTGGATCTGTCCGCGTTGCAATCCACTAGCCTGCAGGTGGGACGGTTTTACCTGGCTCCGAGTAACAAAGCAAGAGAAGCAGTGTTCTGTCCCATAATGCTCTCATGTCAAGTTAAATTCTGATATTCCTCTCCTGACTCCAGAATGCTAACAAAGGGTGAAGAGCAATGTGGTCATCTGCTCCCCTCCCCCACCCACCCGCTCACCTCCTCCCATTTTTCAATGCTAAGTCACTTCCTTTGTATTCTTCTCAGGGTTAATGAGATATTCAATAAAAACCATAAGCCAAAAAGGAGGCCAGCCTGCTGCCGTCTCACAGGCTCTGGTGAAAGCAAGGGTCTGCTCAGGTCGCAGGGATCAATAGTGTCAGCTTGTAATCTGTGTGATCTTATTCCAAACAGACAAGAAATCATCCTCTGAGGATAAATGAGGCCCGAGAGGAGACAAAGCCATAAGCAGGCCTCCCTCCCCACGTCCACCTGCGGGAACACGGCCTGCAAGCTTCGGGCCTGTGGTGCAGGCTTTATTTCCTGCAGTAGGGAGCCTGTAAGTATTAAATCGTCAGCCAGCAATATGCCTAGCTCAGGGCTGTGCTTCTTTTTCCTTCCTAAAGTAATTTCATCCTTTAGCAATTTCCCACGTTAATTTAAATATGAAAACAGAGGGCTTATCTAGAGTACAAAATATGAGAAGCTTTCTAATGTATTTCCGAGCATGGGCATGCCTCTCTAAGCAGCTCTCAGGAAGGATGCTCAGCATCCCATGGTACCCGGCTGTCGTCATGGAAACTCCTCTGGTGGGCGGCATCTCATTGTCCCTGTGGCCGTCCAGCTGCGGACCCGAGGGGAACGCGCCGCACGCACGTTGACTCTGTACGAATGTGAACTCCCTCCCCTCGGAGGAGACCCAGCGAAAGGTTAGTGTTCGGGGACAGAAGAGCGCTCACCCCCGGAGAAGGAGACGGCCACCAGGGCCAGGTCCTCTTCCGCGTGCTGGATCTTCTCCGCCACGACTCTCAGGACCTCCTGGGCTGTACTGGACACTTTCGCCTTCACGCTGACGTACGAGTGCTCCGTGATGTACACGTGGCAAAAAACTGCACAGGACAGAAGCCTAGTCAGTACATGGAGGGCCGTGGCTCTGAGGCACAGACTTTTCTAAAAATCAAGGTGCCCACCCTCTTCGTTTCACTAGTATGAAACATCCACAGCTAGGTGTACCTACTGATGCACGCACGTGGGCGCCGGAGGGCATATGCACACAAATGTGTGCTTGCACGCACACGAGAAACAGCCTTTATGTGCTACTGAGCGAGTCTGAGTAGGACTCGGGCTTCCCACACGGTCATGAGAGACCCAGGTGCGTGCTCACGGTGGAGCTGGTCGACCCAACACAGGGGAGTCTGGGGAACCTGTACTTTTGAGTTCCTTTTGTGAGGGTTACTGATCGCCCAAAGCAGTCTACTGAAATGTCTAGCATACATTTTTACTTTACCCTCCATTTCTGGACAGTCACAGTGACCCAATCAAGACCACCACATTTTGTTATCAGAATTCTCTTAAGCTTATCTAAAAAGTTGTCATTTGCCATGGTTTTTGTGTACAGCCTTTTTTTAATTCTTAATTTTTAACTTTATTTTTATTGCTGACATTATTACAGATGACCCCATATCCCCCCGCCACTCCTGTAGCCCACCTCCACCTCCACCCCCACCCAGCCTCCGCCCTCTCTTCCCTCTGGCCATCACCACGTTGTGGTCTGTGTCTATGGGTTATGCATACATGCTCTTTGGCGAATCCCTTCACCTTCTTTCATCCGGTCCTCCCCTCCCCCTCTCCTCTGACATCTATCTGTCTGTTCCATGTATCCATGCCTCTGTTTCTATTTTGTTTGTCAGTTTATTTTGTTCATTAGATTCCACATATAAGTGAGATCATATGGTATTTGTCTTTGTCTGACGTGCTTATTTCACTTAGCACAATAATTTCCAGGCCCATCCATGCTGTTCAGCGGTGGTGAGTTTAGTTTCCAACTAGTGGTCACATTTCTAGCCATTTTAATTTCCTTTTTATTGTCTGCAGTGCTAATAATTATTACTAGGACATTATCACCAGCTGGGTGAACGGGTCCTGGTGAAATGCTTCTTTATGATTTGGTAGCAGAAACTGTTTTAATAGCAATCGAGATAACTGACACATTACTTGCTTATTTTCTCAGCTATTTTGAACAGTAGTGTCCCTGGGACACTATTACAAGATCAAGGAAACGATAACGCCCAAAGGCTGTGTTTCCAGGCAACGTTACACTCTTCCCACCTTTTCCTCTTCTTTAGAAAAGACAGGAGGACAGTGATATACTGAGACATTTTTCTCTCCTGTAATACAACGTTTTTTAAAAAGGAGTGCAGCTGCTGGAGAAATTTCATATGAAATTTAAATGGCACCACACAATAACCCCAGGGATGTTTGCACAGAAATGCAAGTAAAGCAAAGATAAACTATGAGTTTACATGTGCCAACCTCAACGTAAGCGCGCCACCAGGAGGCACTGACAGTATTTAGCTTTTGGTTTCATTGGGCGTGTCACTGAGACAACAGCATCTAACAAATAGTTGTCTGATATGTTGTCAACAGACTCCTGAGGGACAAAAAGGCCTTTTTCCTTGCATAGGAACATGGAACTTTTGAGCAAGGCAAAGATCCCATCTACAAGCCACTAAATGTGATGTAATTCACAGCTTGCTTAACGAACTGATGAACGAAAAGAGGCCAGGGCCTTGGAATACTCAGCTTGGAAAACGATGCAATTAAATTGTGAGACAAACAGGAAAGGAAGGTCAGCAAGCAAGGAATTAGAGGTGAGACCATTTGTTTGCTCTTCCACTTCTTATGACACAACAGCACCCTCGCGAGCAGCGTGGCATACAAACACCACCACAGAAGTATTCTTGTGACATTGCGCTAAGTGTTCAAGAGGCTGAGCAAATGTTAATGCTCTCGCTTTGAACTGCAGTGCTGACTGAAAGGCCAGTTAAGGGAGAAGGTCTCTGAGTCACCTCGAGTGAACATTTTAATTGCTGTGTTTCCCGGCTCTGCACTTGACTCAGCCCTTATCCAAACAGGAGGAACCCGTGTTCTGTTCCATTACAGAATGTTACCATAGAAAAGCATGTCAGCATCTTCAGGGAGCTGTTTGCCCTCGTACTGACCGGTGGGTCCTGAGCCTTTTGGGCACTGATGGGCATGGACTGAGGACATGCTGGGCGTGGGGCACTGCCCAGCACCACCATGTCTTGCAGGAATTTTGATTGCACATCCTTCCTTTCATTATTCTCTCAGAGATTTCTTTTCTAAACGTGCCCTGCACATGGGCTTCAGTGGCCTTTCCAGCTAGTCACAGGCCAGTGGGGGGGGGGGGGGGGGGGGGGGGGGGGGGGAAGGACCCAGAGGAAGGCTGCATTTCCAGGCAATTTTGCACCTCTTCCCAAGAATGCGGGAAGCTCTTTGCAGTCTCCTTTCCGTAGTTCCCAAAGTGGGAATTGGCCAGTGTCCTTGGGGCTGGCCAGTGTTGCTCAGTGGTTGAGCACTGACCCAGGAACCAGATCATGGTTGGATTCCTGGTCAGGGCACATGACCAGGTTGCAGGCTCTATTCCCAGTAAGGGGCGTGCAGGAGGCAACTGATCCATGATTCTCTCTCATCACTGATGTTTCTATCTCTCTCCCCTCTCTGAAATCAATAAAAACATAACTAAAAAAATGTCCTTGGTCCCGGGGGACACTATTACATGATGAAGAAAAGGGTAGCACCCAAAGCAAGAAAAGAAAAGCAATCATTTTTTGCTGCTAATGTGCTGGTTAAAGGGTGGGACAGCTGGAGTGTTCAAGCTGTAGAGCAATGGTGACTGACAGCGGCTCCACCTACCCCCACACCATACTCACTTTCCTCCGTTTCAGTCACAGTGCCTCGATGCTGGAGCCAGTTCTCCTTAAGACTGAACTGGTGGAAAAGGGCCTTATTCTGTGAGAAGGGAGAACAAGAACAATGAATGAATGTATTCCTGCCCTTTGGAAAGCCACAGCTGTTTACAACATGTTCCAAAAGAGCTAGCCAATTTCTTTTTTAAATATGAAATCCACCCATCCAATCACAGAGGAATAAACTGGGAGTTGCCTCAGCTAATGCATGTGGAGGTGGACAGTCTGAGCAACACGACAGACCTCCGTCAAGGCCAGCAGGGCAAAAAGTTCCTCCGATTATTCCCTGCCACAAGCTGCAGAGTATATGGTTACGACAGACACCCCGAGATTCTTCTGAGAACCCCAGTATCCTCCCTGCTTTGGGATAAAGCAGCCTTGAGATGGCCTCGTACTCTGCTGTAGGACAATGACTTTCCTAAGGGAAACAGGTACCTTATCAGCTTCTGTAAAACTTGTGCCTGAAACTCACTTTACATTATCTCCCTCAAGTTGAATAGGAAACACATTCATTCTGGCTACCACCCCTCTTTTTGGGTTGCAAGTGCGAAACTTTTTCTTCTAAGACTTCTTCTACTCTTGCTGTCAAGATTCTTGCCTGGAATTTTTTTTTTTTCCTTCGGTGTTTGACATTCAGATTTGCATCACTCTGGGGACACTGGGGAAACTCCGAGACTCCAAAATGCCCCACCAGAAACAAAAAAACAAAAACCTGAGAGCAAGTCCAGGGCACAGGGCCGACCCTGAGCCTGCACTAGCCCAGGGAGGCTGATGCAGGAGAGTATAAGCAAGCTGCAGCCTAGGTCCCCGGCCTCTGAGCCAAATCACCCCATCTCAGGCAAGAGGGGCTGCCTTACTTACCTTTCTCTGTGGTGAATATTCGTCGACGGTGCTGAAAGGAAAAGAAGGAGAAATCAGTCTTTGTCCCCAACCCAGAATAACGCAGCTATTGTCGCCGAAGACTCACTTTCAGGCCCTGGGCGGAGGCTTTTGCTTTTCCAAAAGATAAGACACTTGACCTTGGGCTGTGGGTTCCCAGGGAACTGGGCAGACGCGGAGCCGTCTGCCCAACGGGTGTGTTTTGCTTCCCACCCGCAGAAAGCGAACCCTGCAGGCCGAGCCAGCTCTCTGCCCTCCACAGAAGCCCCAGTGCCCTCAGAGGTGGACAGATTTCCGTGGAAAGCATCGTCACTGCGGGAGCTAAGTGGCTGCACTGCATCTCTCCCAGGATATTTCTACGTGTGGTGGAACTGGGGGACATTCTGCAGGGCCCCAGCTCAAATCTTCTTCCAGAATCTAAAGACATTGCATAATCGTGTACCAAAAACCCAAGGACCATGTCTTACACCATTTTCTTACTTTAATTTATTATTTCCCACTTCTGCGTAAGTTCTTCAATGAAATGTGTTACATTCCATTCATGCCTTTAAGGCATTTAAGTGTATGAAGCCAAGGACGGAAGGTTCCCAACAGGAATAAGGCCTCCCTGCAGCACAGGCCGCCTCCCACAGGGGGACTATTTTGATGTTGTTTGTCTTTCCTTTTTGTTTCATTTAATTGTTCCTATTTTCATACTAGTCCCAGGCTATGGAAATGGTAGAGTGCAGGCTCTGATAAAAGAAGGCCACCCTAATCCACAACATTCATTTCTAACATACAGTCCCCACTTACACCTCATTTCTGAATTTCTAAACATGTAATTTTCGTGTTTGAGGATTTATTTGCTCCCTAAAATTACCTAGACATTTAATTTGCAGGAGGATCATTCTTTACTGAAATCAAGTCAGGTTTTAAATCTCACATCAGTAATCTGGAAGGCCTGAATTAACATTTTCTAGGAGACGTGCATTGGTGACTGCTGGAATCTTAATAGAAGTTTCACCACTTGACAACAGATGTGTTTCGTATTTGCTAAGTAGAAACCACATTGTAAATCAGAGGACAATTTTCCCCTTCAGATTAACTTTGCAGCTATAGTTGAATAATGAGTTGATATTTTCATTTACCAAAATGAATAGGAGAGTTCGTATAATCAGAGCAAAGTCAAGTTTTGGCAATTTGAAAGACTAATGATAGATACCTGGGGGGGACTTGGACATGCCGAAAGTCATTGAGTAAATGGTTTCCTTTAATCTTTCTAAAATGATTTTTAAAAAAAAACACCCTTGGGAGCCCATAAAACGGAGCTTTTAAAATGCTCTATGACTTGCTGGGACTTATTTATAAAATATTTTTTTCCTATTCCACCAGAGATAGCTATGAGCCCCTAAAACAGCAAGTTAAATAGTTACACTTTTAAAATTACATATTAATATATTAAATAATTGTTTTTTGTTTTAATCCTCACCCAAGGATATATTTACTGATTTTATTTTTAGAGAGATGAGGGGGGATAGAGAGAGAGAGAAACATCGATGTGAGAAACATTGATTGGCTGCCTCCTGCACGTCCCAACCAGGAATTGAACCCCCAACCTAAGTATGTACCCTGACCGGGAATCGAATCTGAGACCTTTTGGTGTACCGGACGACACTCCAACCAACTGAGCCACCTGTCCAGGGTTGAAATTATTGTTTTTAGATTGTCTTGGCTCAGTTTGTTTCTCTTGTATCAAAAGAAAGTTAAAAAGTAGTCGATAAGCTTGATTTAGTGTTCATTCATTTTGAGACATAAAAACAAAACACAATTTACAACTAGAAAAGCTAAAGAAATCAAGATGACGCTCAGATTCAAAATGAACTTTCTGGGACATCTCGAATTCTACCACATTTGCCGCTTTCTTTCATTGACTGTAACATGGAAAATGAAATACATACTGACGACGGTGCATTCCAAGTATCTTTTGAAATTCTTTCAATTCTTTTTCAAGTATTGGATATTCATATACATCATCCAGTACGTTCCTGTATATGGTCTGGGGGGAAAAGAAAAATGGCAGTTGAATTGGTTTAATGTCCATTTAGTAATGTCCATTTAGACTTATACAACGGTTATGCCCAGGGAATTGGTGGCCCCCAGGACAACACAGGGGTTCACCCAGGCACCAGGGAGACCCTGAGTGGGGTCACACCTCCAAGCCCCTCACTCGGCTGGCATGGCCCTCTTGTAGCTCTTAGGGCTGTAGGTAGGAAATGCTGGAAACTCAGAGCCTTCTGGCTGGCTACTGCAGATTCCTATGCCTGTTCTATCCTTTAAAAAATGCTACCCACATAATCATCTGGGAGGGAAAAATGTCAATTGAGTTATATTACCCAATTGTTTTTGAAACAACGTTAGTTTAGTCAAAGAGCTGGTTGAACAGCTTTTCACTGGATGTCTAAATGACATCTGAATTTTGAATTTGAGTGGTTTACTCCATGAAAGAGAAACAGCCAGACGCTTCCCTGTTCTGAAACAGAGCCCTTCCTGGCTCAAGCCCCATTGGCCCCTCTGTGTTAACCTGCACAGCTAATACGGTTTGGGTGGCCAAAGGAATCCAAGCACCTACAAACCACCTCCAGAGAGTGATCTGTGTTGAAAAGATGGTGCAGCCTATTACTGATTAGAAAAATACATCAGTTTATCTAACTCCAAATGTACATCTAGGTTAGCATCTATCTTATAAGCTATTATTACTTAAAATTCTCAAAATATGCCATATCTTCAAAAAGGTTTATAATGTATATTTTGGGAATATAGTTTTTAAATGATAATGTTTTATCCAAATATTGTATATATGAGACCGGTTAGTTCAAATTTATAATAAATCCCAATATATTAAATACTATTAAGTTTTGAAGTACATTTTATTTTACCTTCCTTAATTATTTCATTTGCAATCAAACTTCCCATGACTTGTATAAGGTAACATTAAGTTAGTGAATGTAAAATTTGCCCTCTACATTTTTTCATAATGAATTAAAATTTTAAAAATTCTATCCATGTAAGGAATATCAGGCCTTAAAAGTCAAAGCAAATTAACACTTTGTTCAAATCATGACTATAACCTACAAATGAGTTTTTCAAATGCATAACTAAAAATAAAAGCAGTCATCTGGCATCAAGGGATAGCTGGCAGTTCCCATTACCTTTAAGAACATTTTGGAATGTTCATCTTCATGTAGCCAGTCTTTGTACAGAGAAATCCACTGCGAAACAAGATGCAAGACCTTACGTTTCCGACAAGGAACATCCGAGTTTTCTTCTTTGCCTTGATACTTCTTAGCAGAATAGGTGCAAGTGGTTAAGAAAGAATAGTGCCTTGTTGAAAATAAAAATGTTCTTATGAAAGCATATTTTCTAAAGAATCTACAGGTATCTAAACTTACAAGGAAGAAAAGAATATCTGTAGAGAGACCAAAAGGTGTATATTGCAAAGAGCAAAAGTAAAGCCAGGAAAAGGATTTACGCACACTCGGAGACAGGCCATGCAGATGAGGGTTAGATGATGTCACTCTCAGCTGCTGACTTAGTTCCGTAGGTGGCACAGGTTACTGCCACCTCGAAGAGATATTAGGTGGCCCATTAATTTCAAGGGTGGCTCCAAGGGATCTGCCCACACTGTTTCCATGAAAGTTAGGAGAGAGCGAGGCCACATATCCTTTGCTCCTCAGAAAGCCACATTCTGTAAAACCAGTTACTTCTAAAGTAACCCCAAATGAGCACAGATTTCTGAAGCATAATTTGTGACATTTTCCAAATGCCCACCCCTAGGAATTTACTTGAAATAAAAAGGGACTGGATAAATGTGCAAACATAAATAAAAAGGACTGCTAATTTTAATTTTCACTGGAATAAAGAAAATATGAATGCTTTAGTCACTGAGGATAGTTAATGAAATTATTTACATATCCACTTAATGGGCTATTCTGCAGCCATAAAACTGATAGCCCAGCAGTACATTTACTGACAAAGAACATCCCAGCATATCGTTAAGTAGGAGAATAAGAAAAGGGCATGTTAGGGTGATCCATTTCCATTAACTATGCTCATTTATACGAATAATTCCATTACCTGGAAAGATATACTGACAGTTAACAGTGGCTTCTCAAGGTAATGAGATTTCAGAACACATGAATTGCTACTATACTTATAAGTGTGTTTTCTAATTTGTATACAATGACCATGTGTTAACTATGTTGTTAAAATTGTTAAAAACACCCTAGCTGGTTTGGCTCAGTGGCTAGAGCACCAGCCTGCAGACTGAAGGGTCCCAGGTTCAATTCCAGTCAAGGGCACATGCCCGGGTTGCAGGCTCAATCCCCAGTAGGGGGCGTGCAGGAAACAGCCAATCAATGATTCTCTTTCATCATTGATGTTTCTCTCTCTCTCTCTCCCATCTCTGAAATCAATAAGAATATATTTTTAAAAATTATTAAAAATAATAACCTCAAAGGCAACATGGTTAAAGCCCGAGGAATGAGACAGAAGCTTGGTGTTTTCCAAATCAACCTAGTGTTTTTGTCTGCAAAATTATGATTTCTGAGTCTCCTGGACACTGGAAGGTTCACTAGGAATAGGAAATGCTAAGCTACAACACACAGGTAGGCTTTGGGGTTGATGGACAGGTGTCTATATTCCTTAAGGCTGATACATAATTGCAAAAGAGACACAGATTCTATATCAGGCTTTGTACATATTTTAAAACATAATTCAGTAACTTTCTCCTGAACCTGCAAAAATACATACAACCATCTGATTTCTTTAATTTCCACTGGTGACATAAACTCAGGCAAACATGCAAAGACTGTTAAAGTATCCATTTCGTTCAGTTTTTCTCTTGAAAGGCAAACTATAAAGATTTATCCCACTTATGCAAATGCCCTTTTCTCTTTTTCCTGTAACTATCATGGCTTGACTACTATGAAGAAAAAAAATATGGAAAATTAAGAAATACTAAACTTCTTCCTTTTAGGTCAAGAGGTAAATAAGCTTTTTATTATGGCTGCATATACATTCTACAATTATGGGCCTGCAGGTTAAAGCAATTTTGAGAACTGAAATTTCAATAACTCTTCTTCATTCATCATTATCACCATTTATTTGCTTAATCATGTTCTCTACCCTACAAGATGCACTTTAAAAGTATATACTGGTTAAATTTACATTCATATTATTCTGGTTTTCTGGTATCAGGACATATTCAAATGTATGTTCACACATTTTGCTCATGCTAAATTATATTGGCTTATAAATTTAGCTGGGTGTGGGGAGAGAAATAGTGGGAAAGTATTCAGTGTAATGCAGTGAACATTAGCCCAACTGGGCTGAGAGCTTAAATAATGCTCTTTATGGTGATAAAAGTTGAAAGATCTTAAATTCTATCACAATAAAAGTATCCACCTAAGATATCCCAACACAATAAAATTGGCTCTAACCTATAAATATTCAGAAAACAATGGGGGAAAACAACAAAAAAATAATTTGGGCCATTCTTTAGAATGTGATAGCAGTAGGGTATAAAAGGTATCTTCACTAAAATATACTTCAAACTATCTCAGATTAAATATGGATATCATATTTTTGTTTGTGATTTGCATTATTTCATAAAAGGCAGAGACTGTAAATATATTAAAATAGTCATGTAAAAAGATTCCTGGCTTAAAATGTTCTGGATTCCACGGGTTTTGATAATTACTAAAAAAGCTGCTAAGAAATTGAACTAAATTTGTATATAAGACTAGAAGCCCGGTGCATGAAATTCATGCACGGGGGGAGGGTGTCCTTCAGTCTGGCCTGTGCCCTCAAGTGATGTCTGACTGCCGGTTTAGGCCCGATGCTTGCACAATCTGGGACGCTGCATGCACCAGTGACCATACTTTTCATACAGGTGAAAGGCATCTTGCTGTTGTACGGGCAGCTATATTTTTTTGCCCTGATTATAAAAAGCAGTACATAGCATGATCCTTCTGAGGCAGTAGTACCATTTTCCCCATCTTATGGGTGGAAAAACTGAAGCAGAGAGAAGTTAAGCAATTGGCGTTGTCACACAGTTATAAGTGTCAGAATCAGGGCCGACCACAAAATGTGCAAGCCAGAGTCCATGCATGTCATCCCTGCATCATCCTGTTTCTTCAGTGTTAGAGTAGCTTTGCCAGGTTTTAATTTTCAAATCTAAGAGACTGTTCCCAATATATAGGGTAGGGTCCCTAGGCCTGGCTGGCGAACAGGGTCGATCTGTGGGGTGACAGGCAGGCAGGGTGATGGGTGTTGGGGGGGGAACCCCCCACTGGCACCTGCCTTGGCTGGTGGCCTGGCGCCACCAGCTCACTGGCTCTTCCCCCTGGCACCCCCCGCCACTCCCACTCCCCACCCCTCGCCGCCACTGGTCGCCTCCCTCTTGTGGGGCAGACTCCAGTTGGGGGCGGCTCCTGCATTAAGCATCTGCCAACTGGTGGTCAGTGCGTATCATAGCGACCTGTCATTCTGCTGTTTGTTTGATTTGCATATTAGAGTTTTATTATATAAAATGTCTTAGTCAAAGACTCAAAACATGTTTACCGGCAAGCAAAGTTTTAGGGATTCTTCAGGGAAATTCTATGAGGCATTCAATTACTCAGTGGTAATCACAAATTATGCTAGGATCATATTTAAAAATAATCATTGGGAGGCATGTAATGTGCTATAAAACAAACTATTAGTTAAGGGATGGTAATTCTTTTGGAAATACGCTAGCATTAAAATATAGAAGGAATCAGGTCATAGATATTTTTTCAAAACACTTTTAAAGAAGGAGAAATGGAAAAGCCTTGTAATTATTGCTAAATTTCTTAGTTAACACCCCACTTGAAAGCTGTGGAAGAAATCTGGTTTTGAAATCTTCCAAATTCAAAACTATGTTTCAAGACCAGTTTTATGAACTGGTTCTGAGAAGTTTCAAGATCTCTACAGTGGCCACACAATGTAGTAAAGCACTAAAAAGTTTCTAACTTATATATTTTTAAGAGAGACTATGCCCTTTATAAAGTTTTGAAGTACTATTTTAAGCAAAAAATGCTAACGTGGAGGAGAAATGTAACAATTATTTAACAGGAAAGACCATTCCTAGGGCTCAATAAAACATAGGTAAATGCAAAAAAAAATAATAATAATAAAATAAAAAACACCTTTCACATGGGCTCGAGTGGAATCTTCGGTTTGGTCGAATAAATAAATCCCTGACAGCTCCCAGCTCCCTGAATGCTCCTGCAGCATCCCTCCTTCACCACTGTGAGGTAAGGAGTGTGTCTGGGGAACTGAGGGAGTTTTCTTGGCTTGGCTCTTTGGCCTGTCATCTGTTGCATCTCTTCTACTCTGCATAAATCATAAAGCTCCCTAAACTGGTCATTAACCTTCTCATCACATCCATCCTTCTGGGAGAGCATGCCGTGACAAAGCTCTGACAAGACAATGGGTGGCTCTGGGGGTAGTTTAGACCTCCCAGGTGAGGGGATGGCCAGCCTCCCCCGGGACATTTGCCCAGAAACATGCTATCACACACGCACACTTTCCCCTCCAAGTGGTCCGGCCCTGACGGATGGATTGCCTTGTAAATTCACTTACTGCCAGTTCCCTCAACCTCTTAACTCCGGGGCTTACCCAGGAGGCCAAATTTGCCTCCAGATTTGTCAAGTCTTGAGACACAGGTCTGAAGAAGAAAGCAATAATGAACAGTGCAATTTAGAAGGGGAAAAAGGCAGCTGCATTTCCAGGCCCCCCGGTCTATTCTGTCTCACTTCATCTTTTACCTTGGCTGTCGTCACATTAATATGGAGCATATCCGTCCTCTACTGGGGGTTGAGTAAATTAAGAAAGGCAGTTAATTCCTAAATGTGAGCCATCTGCCTGTGAGGAAGCTGACGAAGGATATTGTCTCAGCAGCGCCTGGCACAAGTCGTCCGTGGTCATGAAGACGGTGTACGTGAGGAGGAAGTCATCAAGGAGGGTTTCTGCAAAGAAAGAAACACAAGCACGCGATAAGCAAAGCAGTGACAAGGAGGACAATGGAACATGACAAATGCTGGAGGTGGGAGGGGCTAGGAGGGAGCATTTTAGCCACAAAAGAGATTATTTATTAAAGTTAAGATTTTTAAAACTCCTCACAGAAAATGCTTCAAGTGGTGTGAAATTTTTATTGCAAGACTCTAAAAATACAGCTTTTGTCATCTTTTCCCCCCCTAAAACAGTATTTATATTTGTGGGTAAAGGTGTTATGGAAAACCAATGCATAAATCGTGTGCTTTTAGAATAAAATTGTACAATATTTCTGAGGTATACACTCCAGTCCTACAGGGAATGAAGCTGAGTGTTCTAATAAATGAAGCTTTCTAAAGCCATTCTCCTCAGTCTAGGGCAAGAACAACAGTAATAAAACCCAGAGGACATGTATCGGGTTCCAAGGGCATTCACCTTATCTCTCAAATGTATCTGTAAGAAGCTGGGAAAGTGGCGAGTGATTTTCTTATTGCTGTGAAGACAGACAGAGCTGAGTCCTCACTCCGTCCCAATTCCTCTCCTACCTCCTTAACCAACAAGAATGGGCTCCATTTTCATCGCCTCTTTGCCTTGGGAGTTCTTTGAAAAGTCCAGCTCACATAGAACGTGGAACTGCTGACCTGGCAAATGTGACCTCGAATGTAACTTCCAAATGACAGAAAAGATTATATGCAGAATACAAAGGAGAGCTTCTGCCCTAAGTCTTCATCCAATCTCCTTAACTTCAGATTCATTTTACTATACAATTTCATTTTACATTCTGGACATCAACTTTTTAGTTATTTGAAATAGTAATAACTTATACGAATAGTGGGCTTGGTGTGTACCCAAGATTACCTGTGTTTTCCAAAGTCTATCCACTAAAGACGTGGAGACAGAAAGAACTGCCCAGGACAGAACTTTATAGATACATGTTGGAGACTGGAAAAATTTCAGAACCTTTAGAAACAACCAGTACCATTCACTTTAAAAGTCGTTCAAAGCAGAACAACAAGGCTATGTTTAGGAACACAGCACTCTGATGAAAGAGGTTGTGGATGGCATCCACAGTCCTATGTCAGCTGCAGGGCTCGATTTATTTCTATGGTCTGCTTATGTTGCAGAATGTCAACGATAACCCTGACCCACACAAATGGTAATGCTCAAGAACAACAACATAAGAAGGGAACTTTTTCAAATGTATTTATTTATTTTAGGTAACAATATTCCTTTTTCAAGAATAAACTTGACAAATGGCACCTAAAATGTGAAACAAGCCTACACTTAGAATGTATCTCACTGTAACATGTTGTAGATAGTCACTGGTCTAACTTACTTTATGGCAAAAGCCAGTTCCCAAGCAGATGTGCCTGGGCCTTGCCGAGCATGGATTAAGTCCAGTACGAGAAGACCGTGGGAATGTGTCTGGGTGGACGATTTAATGTGAGGGGAGAGGCCCAGCCTGCATTCAGAGGAGAGCCAGGGGCTTCCTACTGGAGCCCCTGTTTACAAGAGTCTTACATCTGCACAATATGGCAGGGGAAGCTTCATTCGGAGATCTGCCCCCAAAGTCGTTAACCTGGCAGCAAAAATGTACCACTGGTCACCCTAATAAAAAAATGTGGAGTATACATTTGAAACTTTATATGTCTTTCATTAAGGTTTTTAAATAGTTTAAAGTCAAACGATGGCATACTGTCTGAATCCCTGGGATATTTTAAAGAGGAATGCTCGCCCAGAACATTTTTCTGTATTAAATATAATTGATGAAAATCCTCAACTTCTCTTGTCTGATTAGAAATTGAAAAACATTTTTTTGTTGCATTCAATGGTAGATACAGGCAGCAGGGACGAGAGAGAGCCCAGAATCTGCCTCAGATTGGAGCCAACGACGTACAGAAACCACTGGGTGATGGAGCTGAGAACCTTACCCTGCCAGCATTTCAAATGCTTGATATTCAGGTTCAGGCTCTTTGGGGGTGATCTTACACTTAGTTAATTTAATGAGGTTGGAAGGGTTCTCTAATCAAGATTTACTCCATTAGGAGCTGAGAAGAAGAACACCATTAACTTTGACATAACCAGTCTTTCCTTTCTGGAACAGCCTTAGGTAATGAGCTGAGCGACTGTGAGTCTGGTTGGATGCTGGCAAAACAACCTGACATTCGGTTCAATTAATCAGCTCACATATGACAATATTTTGTTAAGGGCTTTGACCCAGAAATGCTTATTTCCCCAAAGTTACTACCATATTAAATATTCAAGGCATTTGCCTAATTATCTCTCTGCCATAGAAATATTAATGAAATAAAAACAATAAGGCTACATAAAAACATCTCCAGCTAAAATCCTAATGAATAGAATAGCGAAAAATTGTAAAGAATAGAACAAATTCACAATAGTCTTCAATCTCTATTTAATTAGCATATTGTTCTGAAATTTTTCTATATATAAAGAGCTTTCCTTTATTCTTTTTCAGCACTGGTATTTTTTTTTTTTCTGCACACGAAAGTAATTGAGTGATATAATCAAAATGACACACTTCAAGTAAAAGTGCATTTTATAATAGCCATGCTTCAAAAAAGGCTGTCCCATTGGTACTTAAAGATATTTTTAGAACCACAATAGCTATATAAATGATCCCCTGAAGACTATTAGAAAACAATAGCCATTTAGAAAGACTAGCAAATCCATTGGCATCCACATTAACTCTATAATTATCTATTACATTCTATAGTGCTTAATTAATAGTAATTTAAGATCAGGCAAAAAAGCACCTTTGTGTATAAAAGCATCTTTCATTAAAACAAATTCCTAGTTGCCTTATGCACTAACATTCTTATAAAAAGATGTATTCACTTTGATTTCTAACCCTGTGAATACCTAGGTATCAATATACAAAAAAAACTTTTCTTTAAAATTCTATTCATTAAATCAATCACTTAATCTAATTCCAAGTTCTTGGCTCATCACTGACAAAACTATTTGGCCATTCTTTTGGGAATACCCTCTATTCAAAAATAAAAGAAGCCCTAGCCGGTTTGGCTTAGTGGATAGAGCGTCGGCCTGAGCACTGAAAGGTCTTGGGTTTGATTCCGGTCAAGGGCATGTACCTTGGTTGTGGGCACATCCCCAGTAGGGGGTGTGCAGGAGGCAGCTGATCGATGTTTCTCTCTCATCGATGTTTCTAACTCTCTATCCCTCTCCCTTCCTCTCTGTAAAAAAAAAAAAAAATCAATAAAAAAATAAAAGAATATTTTTTAGTGGCATTTTAAAATACAGGAAGTACTCCTACATTAAAAAAGTAACATGCTAATGGCAATCAAAACTGGAAGGCAGCCCGGCCGGCATTGCTCAGTGGTTGAGCGTCGACCTATGAACCAAGTGGTGGTCACTATTTGATTCCTGGTCAGGGCACATGCCTGGGTTGAGGGCTGGATCCCCAGTAGGGGGCGTGTGGGAGGCAGCCAATCAATGATTCTCTCTCATCATTGATGTTTCTATCTCTCTCTCCCTCTCCCTTCTTCTCTGAAAGGAAATAGAATTGCAGTTTTAAGTACTGTGTAACCTGAAATAAAATACATCAATGTGTAGTCAAAACTAGAGCCTTGGTAGAAGGAGCTCTAAAATTCATGTCTGTAATTAGCCCCAATGACGTTAATACAGGGCTCTTCCTAGCATCTGTTTTCATTTTAAGGCATAAGAATTGGTTATTTTTATTTGGTTTTAGTTGAATGTATTTTTCTTTTATCTATAAATTAAAATATTTTCTCAGTATCATTTTGAGTGTATCAAGCACTAATAATTTCCATTTTATTTCTGCAAAACATAAGCGTCTCTAGAGCCTCCTGGACGTGTATCATGGAGGAAAAGTAACTGGTTTGGTACAGACCCTTTTTGTAATCAAATTATAGAGGAGCTGTGCTAAATGTTTCCAGTAGGTCTAAGCTTAATGCTTTTTTCTTTCTTTCTTTTTTTTTGGTAAAAAAAAAGGAAAAAAACACACACATAAAAACAAACCTTGAAGCCTAAAAATCACAAGGAGTATAGGGTTACTTAGGAGCAATTAGAGAAAACTACTTCAGTTATTTTTCAACACTCATAAGCAAAATGCACTTCAATAATGAAACCACTCATCTGTTAAAGTGAATTACTAAATGAAAAGAATTTTGACAGACAACTGCCTATAGTGGCCATTTAATCTAAGTAAGGTAATGTGAATATTCGACACTTCTGTACTAACTCATATTCCCTAACGTACTGCTAGCAGTTTTGTGTCACCTGTATTTCTACCTCAGAGGCAATGGAATGTCAGGCACTCTAAAATATGTTCTACTTAACCTTTATTTCAAGGAGACAAGAGAAGCTTTGTACTTGAAAGGGCCCATTTCTGGCCCTGGAATGTCACAACTTACCATTATTTTTTGAGGAGCAGTGCCAACATGTACCATGTAATTTGATAAGCACACTCACATACGCGCACACGCACACACAAACTTTCATGTTCATGTTTGAATCGCAGGTTAAAGCCACGCTTCTTTCTCAGTGCCTTGGTCCACAGAACAACTGTGAAACAGCTATGGAAGAGATCACATGGTATAACTAAGAAGTAAAGCTGGGAAAGTAGGTTGGAATAAATTCCTAGAGGGACTTTGAGCACCAGACTAAGGAGGCTGGGGCACCTTCTACAGGAACAGGGGAGATTTTCAAAATGAGGAGTGACAAGAGACACAGATGATGCTTGCTGCATCAGGGAGGTCAGACTGGATAAGGGATAGCATGTGTTTACTTTTAAACACCTTGAGCTTGAGTTCCACGGGTTCAAGTGAAGCTACTGAGCAAAAACCTCAGAGATGAGAGCTTGCTAAAGAGGGCTGGGTGCCTGTGGGCGCTACTGTAGAAGGATGGCTGAGGACAACATGAATTCTCAGACACAGTCCTGGAAAGGGGTCAGCAGGGGTCTGAGGGTTGAGCT